AAATTTATTTTAGTCATCAGTTTACAATTACTGACAACTTGTCTCTAGTCATCTTGCTACGATAATAAGTATATAATAATAATAATAATAAATATTTATTTTCAAGTGCCCCAAAACAACCAACAGGTCTTTTCTTTGGTACACATAATAAATGAGGGATTAAAATAACAGAGACATGGCAAAAATACACAAACGTTACAAATTGGCGACAAACACTTTCATTTTCATCGCGAACACCCGAGAGTCGCTAAATATATCCACTTCAGCATTGTTGATGCGGTTAAAAAGCAGTTGGCAGCGTGATAAAGGCGAGAGATCACAGACAGTATTAATGTAAAAAGTACTATGATTTCTAGTGGGTCGGGAGGGAACATGTAAATTAACATCACTTAAAAGCGAGCCACAATCAGATACACCGTTTACTAACTTATGAAAAAAGACTAAGTCACGTTCCGCTCTTCTATCGGGCAAGTTTGTCAACGAAACTTTTTTAAGAAGAAATTCATATTCAAAATAGAAGCGACGATGAGAGTATCGATCATACACGATGCGTATTAACCTCTTCTGTACACTTTCAATGTTCAATGCCTGAGTTTTATTTAACGCATTCCAAGCTACTGAAGCAAATTCAAGTCTAGACCTGACTAGGGCACAGAATAACCGAACCAAGGAAGCCGGGTTATTAAAGTGCTTCGTAATACGAGATATAACACCAAGCATTCTTGTTGCACTGCCAACGACAAATGACACATGGGCAGTAAACGTTAGATTATTATCAAGGTATACGCCAAGGTCTTTTATGACAGAAAGACGTTTGATAGGCATCCCCTCTAAAACATAATCGCAGTCTATTATGGTGTGACGCCTTGAGAAAGATACGACTTTTGTTTTCAATGGATTCAGAGATAAGTTGTTCGCTGTACACCAAATAGCAATCTGTGAAACATCATGCTGTAGAGCGTTGCATTCGATAGAAGAGTGAATATTCATAAAAAGCTTGATGTCATCGGCAAACAACACAATTTGAGCGTTATCAACATATGACGACATATCGGGCAATTAAAAAAAATTACACTGTTTTGATGTTCTTTTAAGCTCTTGTGCGAGTCCGCCTTCAATTTTTTTATTTGGTTGTATGGAGCAGCAATGGGGCGATTAACTCATCCAGTATTGAGCGAGTTCAAAAATATCAGACGTGTGTTTTGTGATCATTACTTATAATCCACTTTTTGTGGAATAGACAGATGATGCGTAATTCCATATTTGCGCGTAATTATGAAAATAGCGCTGTTGATTCCAGAATGCTACTGAACTTTTTATATTTACGGGTTCCTCCAAGTTCTAGTCGTGTAGGCGCATTGTTTCATCCTTCCGTTTTACACAACACTGATCCTATTACCCACCTACAACTGGTTTTTAGCCTATTCGAACCAAACTTAGATAAATTTGACATTAATATTTTTGGATGCGAACATACATTTAGAAGCTGCATTAGCATTTTCCTCTTATATTGAAGTGTAAACATGTCATCATAACACTACACGAACAGCAGAGCTGTTTTTATGGCACTGAAAATAATACAAATGATTAAAAATGCCCATACCCCAGTATTTCTACTTGATATTACGATATTCATGGCGGCTTAAAGATTGTTGGGCGTGAGCGAGACACGTGGAACGTCTTGTGGTGGGTAAATGCCTTGAGGAGAGATACGGTTCGAAAAACAGCAATATTTCGCAAAACATTTGATTTTTGGAGTTATGGAGTTTTATTTTTCTTAAATCTTGATATTTTAAGTACAAAACATTAGGAAACGGGTATGATCACAAAATTAGACAAGTACGCATTTAAAGTCCTATTGGCAACAGAGAACTGCAAGCATTTTAGTCAGCATTGTGTGCTCGGTTCTTCAAATTGTGACGTCGCCTGCAATTCCATTTATGTTGAGAAGTAGTGATAGCTCTCTCCCCTGCATTCATGTCTTCTGTAACTTAAAATTTTCACACATAATAGGTAGCAAAACTTTTTTTCTCGCCGCGCCAGTGTCGCTGCACATTTATGGTAACATTTCAACGCGTTTTGTTTTAAGTAATGGTGGCACATTTTCACAATTTGAGCACTAGAACTTTTGTACTCAATATAGCCATATCACTACCAAATATTTCATGCATGTGCTTCAGAAAATCTAGATTATGACCTTGCAGGTTTGTTTAGAATCTATATTTATTGTATTTATGAAACATTTAAGGAATTTTATAAGCCCAATGAATGTGATGTTTTAATGCAATTTTCAAATATTTTAAAGTAAACTATGTCTCGCACACATTATCTTTGTTGACAATTTACAACTCGTAGTATAGACGGAGCGAATCGGCTTATTTTACTATTCACTTTTAAATGTGAATAGTACGTAAACGTGCGCCACGTTTACGTAAGAACATGCTTTTTTTTTCTTTATGTGCATAGCATCCAGTAGATGAAAAAATTCCGAGGACACCTCCGCCCTTCTTATGAGTTGTGAATGTGAAAGCATGAATGTCGTTTTTAGGCTCCCTTATAGTTCGTCTGCGGCGGACTGGCGAGGACGGCCACGTTTAGCTACTGCCCAGGTGGCGGCCAACAGCCGAGCGCCATCTCTCGTGAAGTGGTCGCGCCGTGCTGAGCTCGGCCGTGCAGCGTCACCGGATCCTGCCTGGACAGTCTCTCCCTCTTACAGGCGGCCTAGCCGCTGCGCCGCCATGGAGAGGGCAGGTGGCTTCTCTGGTGGCGTTCCTTGAAACTGCGCCGCGCGGTAGCTAATGGGAGCCTCGTTCCTTGAAACTATAACGCGCGCATGCCAATACTAGCCTATTTATCAGATCGCTGCTAATGACGACAGGCTTCGCTTCATGGGTCCAGGGAAGATTAGATGCCGATTAGCGCGGCCTCAAAACCTGATAACGCCGGTTCGCGCCATCGGACAGTTAATGCTTTCGCATTAAAACAAGCGATAACAAAACTAACGCCAGATTTATAGAAAGAAAATCACGCACTATAAGCAGAACAAATGTCAGTCAGTTATCTTTAATAAAGGAATGTTATACCCTAGCTATGGCAATTTAACAAAAATGTTCGAGTGTGCCTTGAAATACAATGTTTCAGTGTCCCGGTTCCAACGAAATAAGTTCACGTTCCAAAGAATTTTTCATTTCGAATGAAAAATCTTTTAGTGTGTCATGAGTCATGAGCCTTAAACGGAATGACGAAACTCCCCCATCTAGTTCTCTCTTTCTGAGGCTCACTGGATACTTTGATGTGTGTATCTGCTCTCACAACTACTGCTTTTATGCAAAGCGACTGTTTTTATGCACTCTGTTCATTTTTTGTGAGCGGTAATAAATTCTTAAGGGCCATTTTCGTTTAACTGCTAATGTACCCGCCAGCGGATTTCAACACATGCCATTACCTGGAGCTGGACAAGAATACACACTACATGCGTGTTTATTTTTTGTGAAGAATTTTATTTTTCAATATTTCACTTAACTCCCAAGGTTGTAACGTTATCACGAAGGTCCTTCTGAGCACTATAATATATATATTTTTTCTATTTCCCTTGCGTTACTTACTTTGTTCGCTAAATTCATTGCCTACTGAACAGAAAATAGGAAGACTTTTTTTTTCATCACTGGTGTAAATATAAAAAACTGAACACAGATATTTTAATACAAGACGCGCTGAATCAGTTTTCTTCGAGAACACAATTATCCCTTTTGATGCTTCCCCGCTCTAGGGTTTAGGGCACTTGCGAATGCGGGCCCAACTCTCGGAAGTGCAGCCCCGTTTTTGGTGAGACCTGTGTCATGGGCCATTACAAAACAAAAAGCGGCAACAGAAATTCACTAAGCCTTCCTGATTAAGTGCCACCACGACAACTCATGTGTAAGCGCACCCTATTTGTCCTTGTACCATAAATAATTGCACTATCTTAAGAACCAATGACGCTGGTATTTGAGAGGTATGTGTTTTTAGACAATATATTTCTGTTGTGCCAAGTGAACCTGTTTTTTATATTTTCAAAAGGATGTCACCTGAATAAACCATTCAGTTGAACGTTACGCCGCATCCTGTATAGTTCTTTCTACGTTTTCGTCATGTTGTTAGGCGTTTTATATCATACAGCGATTATGTTACCCCATGAAATTCTATTCAAAGAAAGTTATATCCTTAGCAAAACTAAATTACATACCAAAAAGAAGATGCCGACACATATAACATTTTTCTTTATATGGCAGGAAAAAATAACGTTGCTGTTTAAAATTATAATATTATTCGCTCATCTTCTTGACGCGAAGTTTTTTTCAGAAGGCCATATACGTCCTAAAACTAGCTCCAAAGCTTCACCTCCCTTCCGCAATTCAGGTCTGGACTCATGACTCATGTTATTGCTGCAACAAGGACTTTTCATGACCCCCTTCTTACCAATAAAATAGCTTATCCTTTCTCTAGTTTTGCTTATTTTAGGATTCCGAATTTCACATTTATCGTTCTGAGACAGTTCAACGCGAATTGGTCGTTATAAAATAAACTGGTATTTATTTTTGGTCTTTCACCTCAAAATTGTAGCGAGAACTGCAATCTAGAGAACGCTAAACAAGTGTACTGTAAGAGAGCTTGTAATTGAGGTAGTTGGGGAACTTTATTACGCCTGGGTGTCAGCTACGTCGGTGTGTCTTCTTCCTTCTCTCCGTTGTTTTTCGCTTCGAAACATGCTTCATGAACAAATGCCAACATCAAATCTTCGAACAAAATCTTTCGAAATCTGAAATGTCACACACACATAAGCGTAGCATTCAATTTTCTACTAAGGTGCTTACTTGATTTTTTTTTTCACTGGCGTCATAAACTGACCTTTTCTATGAACTTTGCAGTGCGGTGGTATCTATATTCCCACCCGAAAGTATAAAAAAGGTTCAAACATGCAATTTTTTCATTAACGAGAAACTTCCACAAGAACCACCACGATGAGGATAGTTTTGTACATTTTCACGTTTTTTATTGTTATGGTTTTGCATACTGCGAAAGGTAAGGCATTATGGTGTTATTTAATGGTTTTGTTACTTACAATAATCTTTAAAAAGTATTTGTTTTATAAGCCAAAAATTACTAATCAGGTGATGATAAATGTGTTATTTGATGTCAGACAGCGGAACTTTAAAACTGCAATCAGATGCCATTTATTATTCAAGCTCAGCCAGAGAATGAACACTACAAAATACTTTTTTTGTGAATACCCAAGCACACCGCTGCCTGCTATGAGAGCGGTGTGCTTATTAAACCGAGATTCACCATTGTGCCTATTAAACCGAAATTCACCATTTTGCGATGGAAAAGGACCCTTCTGAATTTCGGCATACAGAAATAAAACTTCCTTACCGAGTTATAATATGACTAAAGAATAAAGAATGTATAATCTGCTAGATATAAAATATTAACGAGGGTATCAATCATAAATAACGTTTTACGCAGATTGTGTTCAGGGGGAGAATTTCATGCGAGAAGTGTAACGCTCGACTGTGACGAAAAACGCCACATGCAGGCCTAGGCAACATAAAGCGCGCATAGCCAATAGTAGGTCATGCAGACGTTCGAAGCATATGAATGGGAAATATACTCATAATGATTCTTATGTAATCATAAATATACCCCGTGTCAATAGTAGCGTGTAGTACAGGCGAAGGCAACGCCAGGCGAGGGGTGAAAGGTGAAGCATTAGAAAGGCTGGGGAGGACGAGAAAAATCTCATCTCCTCTCTTGCGTTTCTAGAGCTCTCCCTTTTCCCCTTCGCCCTCTACAATTCCGCCTCCCTAGTGCTCGCTCCTTCTCTCTTCAATTGACATTGTCTTCGGCGGCAGTGCACAAACCTAGTGACACGGAGTAAAGGAACACTTCCCCGTAACCCGCAAGACGTGTCATTAGGAGGCTGAAAGTCAAACCCCGGACCAAGTTACCCGTAATCCAACGTCTTTACTTTGCACCACAAGGAGGAGAGGGAAGAAAGGTCAAGTTGCAGGATTAAGTGTGATTTGCCGCCGCGAGTCGCCTGCGGAAGCACGCGACTGCCTGCGGTGGCTGATACTTAGTGCAACATGCATTGTTCAGCATACATATTCCACCATGCTTAGTGTGTAGGTGACCATCGGTGGTGAGTCATACTTAGTCATGCATACTTAGTATGAAGGCGACTTTCGGTAGCGAATCACTCTCAGTTTAGCATACTTAGTCTGAAGGCAACACTCGGCGCGAGTCATGCATTGTCCAGTATTTGTAGTCTATAGGAAACTTTGGGCGCGAGTCCTACCTAATCAAATTTACTTACTCCGCAGGCGACCGTCGGCACGCGCTGCAGTTTTTCGAATAACAAAGCGTAATCTTTGCACTTGAATTCACAACATAACGGGTGGATCATAAAGTACCAAGAAATAGCTCAGCAGGCGTTTGACATCGTAACTTCAGTTCAATTCGTTTATTAACTCTCATCGTAAAAACGGGTGATGGAGACAGGAAAAAAAGCTGCAGAAGTGCAGCTCGAAAGAGGTCCTGTCCCCTAGTGGCAACTTCAGAAATCATTCAATAGATTGTGTAAAAGGTGCAATAAACCTCGTCCCTTCGGAATTACTTCCCTTACGATTAGGGGTTCCTGGCGATCCAAGAGCACTAATAATTCAAGGCCCTACACGCAGCCACGAGAAAAGCGACATAAGGCGTTTAATTAAAGCGTGCTCGTGACACAAACCACTACTAAAGAAATTTGAACTTGATTGGATTATTTTGATGCACCCGGAAAGCACAAGCGTGGGTTGTGTATGCAGCTAAACCGAAATCTCCAAAAACCCAGTGTAAGCAAGCATAACTATCTATAACTCACACATAATGAAGGTACGACTGATAAGGCTCCACGGGTTTATTAGAGGTATTAAGTCAGGTTTAATTTTTAGCGTAAAATATATCGGAATTTCTGAAAATGTGGACATGTGGGAGCTGTTTCATGATATGAACTTTGGCAATATTGTAAAAAAATATTTCAAGGGAAAAAGAAACTCCTGGTTTACTTCTTCTACATAAGGACAAGTAAATACAAACTAAATAAACCTCCTACCCCGTCTACAGTTGGGGCAAGAAAACCGCCTAGAAGAAACTCAAACCATGGGCAAACTACCAAAAAGGTAAATAGTTTTCAAAAGTATGACCTAATGTAATTTTCGCTCATGGCATGACGGTAAATATGGCCGCGGGCGCGCTGCCTACTTGGCCAGCTGCGCCTACAGGTTAGCTGAAAAATTTCGCTCTACAGATCAAAATCCAGGATGCGTTCTATATGTTCTTCGAGCTCCAGGCGTGTCGAGAAATAGAACCGCGAAATTAGTTAGAGCACAGGTCACGAAGTTGTGTGATGTCATGTGGTCCTTTTTATTAATCCTTTTAATAAGGTGCTCCTTGCCAGTAGCCTACATTCCATACACTCAAAAATTAACATTGTCGCGAGTAAAAGAGAAGAGAACGCAAAACTGAAAATAAATATCTAAGAGGCAAACTTGTGCGTACAACCTTAGAAGTAAAAGGTACCAGCATCTTGCGTCGGAGACGAAAAAGCGTTGGTGAAAAAGCAGCGCATTACCGCTCTTTTATGCAAGTGGTAGGTTCAGAAATGATTTTCACCAAAATATGCGGCAACAGCCGAAAATAGTATGAAACTTTCCAGGAGATCAAAGGTTGAAAGAAAAAAGAACCGAGCCGAGCGGGGTTCGAACACCATTTCCCCTTCGTGGCAGCCGCGAGTTTTGCCATCTAAACCACGCTCGCGGGAATAAGTCTTTAGAAAGAGAACCAGAAATCACTCAATATATACCTTTCAGGCGTTTATTTTCAGAGATAATATAGTAAAGGTGCAATCTGAGACTGAGGCAGAAATGAACACATAAGCCGAATTTAAAGAAAAGGACAGAACGACGTCTCCCGTCTTTTTTGTTCCTTCGAAGTATGTGTTAATTTCTGTCCCAGTCTCAAGTTCATTCAGGATGTCTTATTTTTGGCAACAGTGCTTACTGAGACAAGACATTAATTTCGCATGAATTAGACAGTAAGAACTAGACGTTGAAATACAGGGTGATGCGATACGCCTTATCTACTGTGAAGGACACATGCAAAGAAAAAGAAAACCATTATTTTTAAACAGCCTAGATGGAAAAAGAATGTTATAAAACTAATTTACAACGAAGTAAACAAAATAATTAGAGCTATATTTACCGTACAAAATGAATTTGTAGTTGGCGCCCGCAGGAGCCGCCGCGGGTCACGTGGTAGCCGCGTGCGTCATCGCGCTGCGCCACCGCCGCCTGAACGTCACACCGCCACCATACACTGAGCGTGGTGCGCTGCCGGCCCCAACGCGTTTTTCCACGCCGCCGCCGCCGTCGCCGCACAAGTTCGTCTGCTCGGGGGCGCCGCCTCCATCATCTGACCGGCGCACAGGTCTATCACGTCTGCTCGCGCTTTTTCAGGAGCTTCTTTTGGACTCTAAGAGTTACTTATTGATATTTGTTTTTTGTTGGACTTGAAACGAAGGTGAATAAGTAACTTTTAGAGACAACAGGAAGCTTCCGAAAGAGCTCAAGCACCTCGTGATAAATAAGGGCCACTTTTCTGCGGCGTATCGAGCCGTAAATATAGCTCTACCATTTTTTTTTTATTTTTCGTTGTAAATTCGTTTTATGACTTTCGGTTTCCAACCAGGCTGTTAAAATTTTCTTCTCCTTTCACGTGTTCTTTAAGGATGAGGAGAAAAAAATATATAATACACAAGTAAACCAAATGAACTAAAATGACTCCCGTGTTGCGTTGACAAGCATCACATATTTTTGTTTGCCGGCGGCTATCTTGTACTGCTATAAAGTTCGCACACGCATATAGAGAAACAAATCTAGCCTCACGTTCAGATAAACACAGCTTTTAAATACCATTTTTATTTTTATTTGTCTTTTGCGAAGGTATCGCGCATCAGAAATTTTCTGAGGAGGTTTGGTATTTTAGCGATGAAATAACGATGGAATAAAATTATAATAGTGTTTATTATAGTGTCCAGGAAGAACCGATCGGTCTCAGTGCTGGCACACTTAAAAAAAAGAAGAGCAACAACACACACATACAAACACACATTCACACGACTGCAAAATGGAAATGTTGTTCACGGTGTGAGAGAAAAAATATTAACAAGTATGAAAGATATTCAAATCAACAAGGGGAGTCAAAAGCACAAAACAGAGACATCACCAGGTGTGAAAGAAAAGAATGCTTGGATATCGTAATGACAAACACCAGTTCTTCAACTGATCAGACCTTTTCTTTCAAGAGGAAGTTTCGAACAGTGCTTCTTATAACTTGCGCTCGCATGAGCGATAACATCAATTGTATCAGAGCAGCGGTTATAAAACTCAACCGATTTTCGGATCGGGTTTCAGTGGCTAAAATGTCGAGCTTTATAAAAATATAAATGAAGTCGTCTAGGCATACGTGGAACCCTAAGGCTCACTTCGTACAGAAGGCTGGGAGAGGTAATCGGGCCGTGCAGGGTCTTAAACAGGAACAACAGATCGGCCTTCACCCGACGCCGCTGCAGGCTCAACAAATTCACGAGTTGCGAGTTACAGTCAATGTTTAAACAAGAATCACCTTCTCAATGTAGCGATATTTAAAGATGGAAATACATTTGTTTTGGACTCGCTCCACAGATAAACTGTTAGTTTTGAAAATGCCGTTCTAAAGAACCGGGGCGTACTACAGCTGGGATCTAAGTAAGGAACGGTACAGCGTTAAAAAAGCGGACGGGCCTTTGAATTCTTTCGTTATGAGAGACGCGGCATCTAATGTGCGCAAGGCCGATTGTACCACACTGGTTGTGTGAGTGTCAAATCTCAAGGTTGAATCAACAACACCAATTTCCCTCAGTTCACTTTCACGTGACAGCAGTTCTCCATGATAACAATATGAAAAAATATATATCCTGGGTCTTGCGAGAATATGTCACTATTTTTGTATTAGAAAGAATAATAATAAAATAATAATAATTATTTTTAATATCATTAATATTAATCTCATTATAATAATTATTCATATATATAATAACCTCCAACTGGAGTTCAGGCAAGCCGAAGAATTTATTGAAAACGAGGAGTTGAAATTGCATTCTGACGTATTTTTATGTGGTAAATTTAAATGGGATAACTATTTACCCCAGGAACAATTAAGAAGAACCTGAGAGAAAAATCTAATACACTGGTGGAAAGTGATTTTAAAAAGGCATTGACAATCTCCCCCGCCCCCCCCACCCCCGAAAAAAATTGTTTATTGTTTGTTGGGTTATTTATTATGGTGGCAGAAGACTACAGCCAATCTTTTGCTACTGCGTCAAACGTATTTTTAATAAAGTAAGACAATGCAGTTGCTCAAAACCGAAATCCAAACTGAACTGGGGAGAAAGAAGAAAGATAGAACAGAAAGTTCCCTTCAACATATGTGCAGCAATTTAGAAGCCACAAGAAATTGGTATCATCTTTTTTGACTATTTCTGGTATTGAGTGTGTGTCTTCGATGACCCACAACTTTGAATATATTTGATTGTTGTGTCTAAACTATTAAAAAGAGCACGTGACCACGGAGAAGAGAGAGTGCGACTCAAGCTGGTCGGTTTTCAGTCGGCTGTTCATCAAGTGGAAAGGGAACGAGTTTCGAGCCGCAAATTCTGTTTTGGGTAGTTGGACTTTCATATATCATGTGCAAATAAAAGCCTTCGAGAGCTTAAGTACTCCCTTTGTGCCCCTTTAAGTAAGCAGCTTTCTGCTGCCCAGTTGGAGCTCCTAATGTCTGCAGTCACGAACGATTGCAAGACTGTCGATATTACTCTCAGGCCCACATGAACGCACCTAGTACGCTTAAAGACACCACTCGAAACGCCATTATTTAAACTCTCAGTATGGAATATCTGAGGAAGTGAAGTGTGCTCGTGCATAGCTTAAAAAACCTCTCAAGAGACGCGGTAACCCATGTAGCTTACCCCAAACAAACATGGGAGGCATTGAGAAGCCACCACCATGAAGGTTAGCCAGAGCTGTAAAACAATCACCAGAGGGATCTGCTATCACGCACGAGTAAACTACACAAAAAAAACAAGAACAAACATAAAATTCATTACTCCAATAAAAAGGCTCAGGCAAGCCTGCAACCGAGCCGTATATGCCGAGAGCTCGGTTATTAAATGGTGAGAATAGAGCGAAAATAAAGACACGCCATTGGCCGAAATTGTTTCAATGACCACAAGCGCGTTGATTGACTGCACTTGTGACCAACCACCAGCCACAAATATTCTCCTAGCAGAGGTGATGAACATAGCTTATATCCTCTAATTATAATTTCTTGGTTAGGATGCATTCAAGTATTTCATTTCAGCACGCTATGGTTGAAATTTGCGACTCCTCGTAACTAAAAGGGCGACGCAGGTGACGCTTCGTCACGGCGACATCCAAAATCCACTCAGTCTAGCCGCGGCCACACCGGAGTGGACGGCGAAAACCGCGGACTCGGCTCCGTAGGAGTTTTGGCTGCTAAACCCGAACGCGCACCCCATGTTTGCAATTTCTCCGTATACTTCAAAAAGCGTTTCTCGTCAATATCACCTTTCCTGGCTCTGTAAACCAATCCAGCACCTTAAAGCTCCCTATTTTCATCAATCTCTTACAATTATCTATTCATGTACTTTCAGCGTCGTCCAGAAACAAAACAAAAAAAAAAAAAAAAAAATGCTTGCGCCGCGGAACGCGCCTCCTTTAAGGTCATCTCAGATATTTTAACTTCGCAGGATTGTCACGGGGGTAATATGCGTCGCTGGCGGCGCCACTGCTTTTGCTGTTGCAGACCGGCTCCCATCGGCTGCCCCATTGACCAAACTCTCTCTATATACGGCTCTGCCCTACTATGGGAGCAACAAGACGAACGTCACATTCTTTTCCGACCACTGAAAACGACTAGCAGAAGGCACAGAGATGTCGTAATCTCTGGAGATGACGTCATGCTCACTGTCAAATGTTCTGCTCGAACTAACTACGTAGATAATAAGGAAACTGGGGACTTTAGGCTATTTTGACAGGGATATTTCGTTCTTACTCCGCGCTGAAACCTAAAGCTAATTTCAAAATTCGTGAAGCGGGAAGCAAAATAATGTAAAAGTTTATGCGTGTTTTAGCAAGGGTCTTCTAAAGCTTTTCTGGTTCAAACTGGTGGCATATTTAAAACGTGACATAAACCAGCTATCACGTAGACGTTTGTCGTAAGTCGACGGTCTGCTTAATCGATCTGTAAGAAATTCTTAATGCGTGTCAGCCTGTATACGAGTGCTAGAGAGAAACAGACAACTCCAAAAGTTTCTCGAGACCACACAACTTTAGCAACAGACAGTTTCATTTTTTTAGAGATAAAGCCACAAAACTAGATTGGTTTGCATTCGTGTGACCGTAATCAAAAGTATATTATAATAGTGTCTGATTGGATACAATGTACACCATATATAATAATTTATAACAATTAATGCACTTAATTTTTCAGTATAATGCAAATCACGAATTTGATAAGTTGTGCCTCCAAGAACACAATAAATACAGAGCAATTCATCAAGCCCCATCACTCAAGATCAACTCAACGGTAAAATGTTCACAATATTTACAGGACTTATTAATCGTTCCCTATATACTTTCCTTTCATTTTCGCGGATTTGCTTTAACGAAACGCCGTAGAAAATAGTAACAAATTGTAGCTCTCAGCGGTAGAGTTTTGTTGTATTTAAATAAACATGGTGAGGGAGATTAAAAATGCCCTAAGAAAAAGTTACTTCTCAATTGCGCCATGCCGACATGTCACATTGCTAAGCACCCAATATGTTGAGATGGCAGTCACGAAGAAGCGGCCATTTATCTTATATAAGAGAAAAATCAACGCGTATTGATTTCTTAAGAGTGTCAGAACCAATCCTAAATGGCGTCTTCAGCAGGGTGTTACTTTTTGCAGAGAATGATACAATTAGCAAGGCTTAACTCAATAGCGCAACTAACAAATTTGTGGCTGGGTGTGTAAATTAAAAGATATATTTTTGATATAATGATATTTGTCAGCCTGTTCCCTTTGCCTGTCGCCATTGTAGACCGCGTAGCTAAAGCTCAACGTCTATTCATACGCATACGGGAGAAATGTAACCACTTCATCCTGTCAATGACAGCTTTAATACCCTTCAGATGGCTCATTTCCACAGTGTAAACGATTGTGATAGAGACGCGAAGCATTTCCTACTTACCTGTTGCTTCGACGTTATTTTCGGCCTATTTGTCCTAGAGTCCTTATAATAAAGGCTATACTATGGTCTACCATGTTATGATCTCGTAAACTACTGCTCTCGTATCACTGTGAAACCTTTTGAAACCTTTATGAGACCTTACGTGCACGTACCTTTGTTTTTTTACTACAATAATGCCTTCGAATTGCGTAGAAATTCGGTAGGTTAGACACTGCCTTATAAGCAATAAAGAACCTGCGAAACTTGATCGTGTTTTCCAACCTCCACTAAACTTGATGATGTTAGCGTACATTTTTTTAAAAATAATGTTCATCCAGACCAACCGATAGCCTTTAAAAGCGCAGATATTATATGCAGATTATGGCTCTTATATACAGAAATAACTCCATTTATGTAAGGCAAGACCGGTGCCCACGAAAAACTCGCGACTTGATATAGTGAGAACAAAGAATCCTATAAAAATTTGATTAGCACTTAGCGCGTTGTGCCTAGCCTATGTGAAGCAGATATGGCTTTTAAAATAACTAAAAAACGTGACACTAAGGAATCCCTGCAGAAAATATTTCGTCTAATGTGTGCACTACTGTTCTAGCTATACATATTTGCTCGATCATGGGCAAGGCGACTTGCCATTCTTGACGATACAAGCAACGTTACTCATCGACCAGGCAGAGACTTCGGAGAAAACATATATTGGATGACCTACAGTAAACAGCCTTATGAACAGTATGGTAAGTATGGCAGGTTCGTGAACAAGTATTTGCGTTAAAAAAACTACACGGATCGATTGTGTTTCTTTAGAAAATGGTTTCAGTGTTCACTGAAGCCATGGCACCATTGTCATGCGCTCCGGAAATATCAAGCTTCAGTCGACTATCGGCGTAATATGCAGCCAACAAAAACCGAAAATGAGTCAATGCGTTCAAATAGCTTATTTTTTTATTTTGGAGTATGGCAAAACTCGAAGTTACTTATACCTATGATCTTTTATGTTGTTAAGCAGCTTTATTTTCAAATGACACTTTTTTCCTGTATTAATAAAGAAAAGTTTACTCATCATAAGATTTAAACACGTTGTTGTTCTAGACGACATGACCTTTAGCTATGCCGTTCACAATTGAGTATTGAGTGATATCCGGAATGCTAGAGACGAAAGCCTTTGCTAAATTTATATTTTTGTTTCGCATTTGCCCAGTAGTTCTTGCTGTATTTTGTACGTTCTGAATTAAACTGATCTAAATCATTAATGAGGCCATTGTGATTGTTTTTATTGATGCCCAAAACCTCCTTGCTTTTCGTAGGTGTCACGAGGTACCAACGCAAATTAAAAAAAAATATAAAATATTTTAAGTATGGTTTTAAATATTCATTTCTGTAATTTTTACACGTAACAATTTGACTGTGTTTTCCGAAATGTACCAGGCATGCTATGCACGCGCACTCCGGTAATATGTAACTCTTATTTGATAACATTTTCTAGTGTGATAATTCATGCCGGTCCTGTTGCGACCTGGATGTGCAAGCATTAAAAATCGAGAAAAAAAAACTTCCCAAGATATTGTTAGTAATACATATTTTGTAACTATATGTTCGCCATTATAAAGAAAATAAAAAAATGACGTCTGAACTCACGAATGACGAAAGTAATTCCTAGAGAAGGGGAACAAGAGGGACAAATGACAAACATAAATCTCCAAACACAGCTTTTGTCCCTTTGTCCCTTGTCCCTTTGTCCCCTTGTCCCTCTTGTTCCCCTTCTCCAGGGATTACTTTCGTCATTCTTGTCCAGCTCGCTTGCACCTTTGCATTTAATTACATTATAATTATAGTCTGAACTTAACTAGTTGAAAGTGATTTCTATGGCGCGCTGGCCACCTATGTATATATGCAATAATAGCGTTATACTTAATCTCTTTTAACAAATTCAAAACTTGTAAACCAGTATTTATTAATCTAAGTTCAATAAACATCCGCTCTGGTTGCCTTCAGAAAGCCTGAATGGCGTTTTCGAACTTCCCGAGGATTATCCTATAAAACCATATAGCATGAAAGTTCAGGAAGATGGGCATGTGAAATAAAATAATCAAAGCCCTTAATGTTTTCCACAACAAAAGTCAGTAGACGCGTTGTATAAAGGAAAAAAAAAAGAAGTTCGGTTATGATCGCAAAAAAGAATTTCGGTTATGATCGCAGTTCTAAACGCGTCGCCCATGCCTTATCGTTTATGACTTCAGTGTGCCATCGGGTGGTCTCCGGAAGACGTCCTCATTTAAATGAACGTTCGAACTCTGAATTTAGATTGACGCGAGGTGTAATTTAGTCAAAGAACCAAAAATTCGTTGTAAGCTTGAATCTGTTTTTTTTTTTTTTCGATGCGACAACATTTAAACTGAAACTAGGCTCAAACGCAGGTGCCTCGCCCTGGAATGTAAGCACCTTTGAAATTAGGTATGAGGTTCACCTTAGTTTTCTCAAAAAGGTCAATTAACGAATAATTGCGGGACGACGGCGGTTTGTTTCTGCTGCATCACATAGCCTCTGTGGCACCTTTCAAGGTCTCCAAGTAAAATTGAGTTGAAGAATTTAATTTGTTCTTGATTAAAATAGCCTTGACAAAAATAGGATCAAATCTCGAGCTTTTCAGCTGTAATATTAACACTGCTTTATTTTTTTCAGCAACACTGGCAGTAAATTTGTGGTATGATGAAAACAAGAACTACAATTACGTTTTTGGTGGTTACTCAGCTGCCACCGCTCACTTTACGCAGTTGGTATGGGCATCAACCAATACTATGGGATGTGGCTACGACGTATCCAAGAAAGGAACGATATTTGTTGTTTGCAACTACAATCCCCATGGGAATATTCCGGGAGCATATCAAAAAAATGTCAAACCACCCAAGAGCTAAAGCAGGTCTGATACGCTTCCAGTAAAGACCAACGTAATTCCTTGATCTTCAAAAAAATTATACTCTGATTAGAACACTCGATTCTGTAGGAGCATTCTAGTTGCCCTTCTTAAAATGGCTCCATTGATTCACTAAAGTGGTATTCACTCTATCAATAAATCATGACAACCCACCACCTTTAGACATCACTACTAATAAAGATATTATTATCAACGATGCGTGCCTTGTTTTTTTATCATAACTAATTAAATCCGTAAGGGTGGTATGTCCTTACAAGTATAACTTTTTATTAGTTTTATTGAGTAATAATCGCATGTTTTGAGTTGTGAAGGTTGGTCACTACCAAGCGAAAAAAAAAACTCTTCATGTTAAGATCTATCGTTTTTTTCGGCCCCTGGTAAATATACTAATTTTAGAAAACAAATTAAAAATTCTCATTTATTTAAATACCTAAGTGTATTAATGAAATGAGTAAATTATTTTCTAGAATATACTGAATACTGACCCTAATTAAACCTGGGTGTTACTAGAACCTAAAAAAGAGCATGTTTCCGCATCTGTTTGTTATCTTTTACACTTAACTGCAACCACCGTTTGCTTTTCTCTTCAACTTTGAATGCCCACTTCATCATCATGGATAAAGTATGACGATTCTGCTTTACAAATAGCGATGACGTTGAGCGTCACAGATATTTCAGGCTTTAGGTTACCGAAATAATAAAAAGTTTTCTTCCATTAAGAACGCGTGCGCCAACCACTAAGAATCCGAAGACAGTGGTTATAGCGTATTAAACCGCGTACAGAAACGTATTCTCTAAACCACTACCTGTACCCGGTGCGCGCTAAGGGTACATGATTTTGTTTCCATTTTATATGCGTATTCTCACAATATCTCATTTATGAATAAAATACCTTGCGATGCCTCGTTGCATCTTCGACAGGTTACTTGCAAAAATGTATGTTCATAAATTGCTCCAGATTTTCAGTTCATATAAACGGGATGTTCAAAATGACGTTGTATAAAACAGTTGAGGCAACTTCTATGTTGATTTTGCTTCCAAAAAATTCAAGTCCTTCAGACAAAAGCCTTGGTAAAGGTCAGGCTTCTAGACATAAAGGCGTACAATCACCTTGTGAACAAAATTGTTGAGATATAAATTATAGGGTAAAAAAACTATTAGGTAAAGAAAAACACCTTAATTTCTAACTTGCGTCGATTCCTTGTACAAATATTAGTTATCCTTGTTTTCCAAGTTGTTTCTTCATTCTAAGTTTGTTATTCTTCTCTTTGCAGGTAGGCAGATAGGTAGGGGACTGGATATATTAATTCTCCTACATATCTACAGGTTTTAGGCGAGAGAAACGTAATAACGCAGCACTAACCAGTTGCTTCATGAATTTATACGACATTCTATTTAAGGTCTAAAGAGTATATCTACCACACTTCCTTTTGCTAACACCTCAATCCTTCATTTTGCTTTATACAGTCACCGGCAGCTTAAGCAACGCTGGGCGAGGCAAGCGTGAAGCATATTATTATCGCTCTTTGGCCAGTGAGATTAATGCATTTCTCAATTCCAACTGCGAAGAACAATCAAGAAACAAGAAGCCTGAACATTTTAAGGCATCATACCCTGTATTTCTTAAGTAGTCACTGACTAAAAACGTATGTCGATTTCCATAAAACCTAAAAATTTTTTTAGTCATACTCATTTTATTTTAGATAGATACCTACCTCAGGAAGCGATTTTAAATACAGTTGGTCGGGTGAGCGGGGTCGGAGGCAGCATATGAATTCTATCTGCTGTTCTCGAAACCTAACGAATATGACACTCGCGGCGAAGCCACGAGCCGCATGCGGCCGTTGTTAGATTATACATAATATTTGATGTTAAGGTTGTCTACGCGTACATTCATTGTGGATCGCTTGAATACTCTGAAGTAGTGCAGACGAATATAATAATACACGTCCTTTTGCCTACACTAACCTTACCGTCGTTTTAAAGTATATCCATTGATGCACACCGGAATGCATTGAAGCAATGCAGCCGAATAATATGCCTCCGCCTCTCTTTGTGCACATCCAATTCTCACCGTCTCTTTAAAGTATTCTCATTGTGGATCCCCGGAACACACAGAAGCAATGTAGCGAAATACAATACCCTACGCCTCCGTCTGCGCATCCAAATATTATCCTCATTTTGAAGTAGTATCGATGTGGATAGCCACAAAGCACTGAAGCAATGCAGCGGAATGCAATGAGCACACCTCCCCCTTTTGTCTACCCTAAGTTTATCATCGCTTTGAAGTACTATAATTATGGATCACCAGTACACGCTGAAGAGATGCCGCGGAATACAATTACCACACCTCCCCTTCTGCCCACCCAAACCTCATCGTCGCTTTGAAAAAAGCTCTAATTGTGGATTAAACCTATGCACTGAAGCAATGCAATGGTGCACAATGAGCACACCTCCTCTTCTGCCCACCCGGACCTCGCCGTCGCTTTGAAGTACTTTCATTTTGGTTCTTCGGAATTCAATGAAGCAATGTGGCTGAATACGATGAGCACAAGTCTACTGTCGGCCCTCACTAAATGAATAAAGAAATGTATTTCAAAAGAGAGAGCTGTGTGCTATAGTGGAAAGGGGAAGTTGGAAGGAAGTGGGCTAAGTTCTTTATCCGATGTTGGCATTCACTTCACAAAACCAGAGAGAGAAACGTAGGTATCTCTTGTGGGGACCGTTGGTAGCCCTTCCCCGATGGCCGGCATAACAGCCGTGATTCAGAACGCTCGGCCTGGCTTCCGTAAGCACCAGCCTTTTCGTGAAGCGTAGGAGAGCCGCCTGGCTTGGAGGGCTCTCCTCCTCACTCTTTCCCGGGGAGTCCTTTTCCCGTCCCCTCGCTCATCCGGGAACATAGTTGTTTTGGGTGAGGACGACGCCCGCGGGGAGAGGAGGTCGACGCGCGTTCCCGACTTCGGGAACGCGGGGGACTCCTCCCGCGGATGCGATAGAGATTGGACGTGTCTCGAAGGTCTTCCGTTGCCCGCTTTGGACTGCGCTCTCGGGACGGTGTCGACAGGGTAAGCCTTTCATCTGACCTTGTCGGGTCGGGGGTTTTGGGACAGTGTGTCTTTTGGTGTTCCAATTATCACCGTAGGACCCAGTCCTATTGTGGTACGTGCTCCTCCCTTTTAGAGAAGCGATCAGTTGTGCGGCCGACGTTCGGACCCGCCCGTGGCGGTGTTCTCGAGAGAAAGCTGCGGGAATGTGGGAGTAGGATTGGCGTCTCCCGATTAGAGACTGCCCCTGATTCCTTCGGTTACCACCACCCGTTGCTATCCCACATATTCTGGCGCCAAACGTGGGGCCACGACTTCCTTTAACGCGGTCGTGGCATTCGTTTAACGTTAAGCTAGCACTGTTGTCTGCCCTTTCACGCCATGTCGACGAGTCAGCCCAATTTTCGGTCGCTGATCATGCTGGCAGAAGTGGCTACGAGAAGCCTCACATCTGATCCCCTCGTACCGATCGGTGACCCGGCTGCCTCCTATGCAAGCCGTCTGTTCTCGCCGAGCCAGCCAGGTGCACCTCTGATAGGAGCAAGCGCCTCGGTTGATGGGCCCACGAGCGCTTCTCCTTTCCGAGACGGCTCGCTGTAGCGGCCAGAGCCCTACGCCGCTCCTATTAGAGCCAGCGTTGTGGGTCCATTTGATGCCACGCCCCTCGGAGGCGGCGCAGATCACCGGCCTTTAAGTGTAGCTGCCTTTCAAGCTGACGCCCTGCCGGGCAGCCACATGACAACTTCTCTTCTCCGAGACGGTTATCATGTTCGGCAACCACCCGGTCCCTTCCCGATGGGAGGCCACCAGATGGCTGGACAGAGCGCGCCAGTAAAGTATATAGAAATCATGCTTATTTATTAGGGTGTTTTCTTGTATTAGAACTTTCCAGAGTTGCGTCGGCATTGTTTTTTTTAGCTTTCTTTGTGGGTGTCGGCGTTTTGGAGGGAACGTTTCCGTGGGCAGACCGGCCGAGATGCGGAAGCGGTTCCCCCGCCGGTCGTTAAGAAACGTGTCGGATTTCGGGAGTCTGCTCGGACAGATCCCTGGGACAGCCCGTTCTTGCAGCTGCTTGCGGCTTTTAGCCGAATGTGCCTGTATATGGAGGGTTTTGCCGCTTTGTATAAAATTGTCGCTTTTTGCCCTATGCAATAACTTAGCGGTTGGCGCCAGTCAGGCCGGGAAAATTGCAGAGAACAACTCTACGAGGAATTTGGGTTTGACGGTTGGGGTGCCAAGATGACAGCTCGCCGACCATTGGAGAACAGTGTACCACGTGTCACCTGTGCCAGAGCCTCAAGCCACTAGGCGGTAAACCCCCGGGCCTCCTGCAGCCAGTTCAAAGCCAGCAACCTTGGTCTCTCGTGGCGTGCGATCTGGTCGGACCCTTTCCCAATAGCCCGAAAGGACACCAGGATTTGCCGGTTGTCACCGACCACTTCACTAAATGGGTAGAGCTTTTTCCTCTGCGCAAACTGGCGGCCCGGGCAGTGCTGAACAAGCAGATGTAGGCGTTTTCCCGCTTCGGACACCCCCAAGCTTTGATTTATGACAATACCAGAACCTTCACGTCAAAGGTATTCGCCGATTCCTCTGCAGCCTTTGGCATAAAGCACAAAAGGACGACGAAGTACCACCCCCAGTCGAACATCACCGAGCGTGTCAATCGGAACCTGAAGCCTATGCTTGCAGAGTAAGTGGAACGACACCGAGATTGGGATGCCTATCTACCCGAGATCGGGTTTGCACTCCGCTCTACGGTGAACAGATCGACAGGTTCCAGTCGTGCTCTCCTTAATTTTGGGAGGGATCTGCCGAACCCCATTAATCGGGTATTGGCGGCTACAGGTAAAGGGGGCGCGGCGCGCAGCCAGCCTATGCTGACTACGCCCGGCGGTTGCAAACGCGGATGGAGGCGGCCCTGTCGAAAGCCAAC